GTAGAGGTTCTACAGAGTGGTTTTTGCAAGTTTTTCACTTGAAATAAAGTGAGTGTTGGAGGTAGTTATTCAAAGTGGCCATGTTCTTGAAAAGATAAAGAATGTGACAAGAGTTGTGGTTCTATAAAAGAAAAAACAATGAGAGAATGAAAAAAAGAATGCAAGCAAAAGAGAGGCATCACAAAATTTCTAAACATGCTCGTAAATAGTGTTTCTTAGCATACCGGCCCGAGGATTCAATATTTATTACTTGTGTCACTATATTTAGGGGAGGGAAACTGGTTCGGTAAACCCAAACCGAGCCGAACCGAATTAAAATCGAACTGAACCAAATTTGAATTGTTCGGTTCGGAATTCGGAAAAAAAAATGAGTATTTCGGAACCCAGGGTAGTCACCACCGAACCCGAATTCCGAAACCGGAACCGACAAACCGAAATCCAATCCTTCAGCAACCTAAAGCCCACCACTAACCATTCTCTCCAGACACCAACCCAGTCCCACTAACCATTCGTCGTCGTCACCGCCGTTGATGCCTGCCGCCGATTTCCTTTCCGTCAGAGATCTCTACCACCGCTTAGGCAAGCTCTCTGTCGACTGCATTTGTTGGCTGTGGAGAGAGAGAGAGAGAGAGAGAGAGAGAGGGAGATAGATCTGACGGAAATTTCCAAAGGGGAAAACTAAAAAGGGTAAGCAGGAGTTGTTATACAAGTTCGGGTTTGGACCTTAAAACCGAGCTGAAATGTAATTCGGTTAGGATGAGCCGAATTATATTTCGGTTTGAATTCTGTTGGGGTCATGGGTTCGGGGACCCGGTATGCTCTTTTTTGGTTCGGTTGAAACTGAACTGAACCGATGCCCACCCCTAACTATATTGTAGTCCCTTCCATTGGTTAAACTTGGCCATTGTTAGGAGTTGTGTTTTAGCGACTCGTCTATCCAATTTTTCAAGCACAAGAGTGAAGGAGGTAAGCAAAATGTAGGTGTCTCAATAGCTTGAGTGCCAAGAAACACCTCTCTAGAGCATAAACAACATTTTGTGGCACTCTCTATTTTTATTTGCCCCCTTTTATTGGTTTCTTTTTTGTTTCTTTTTCTTCATTTCCTTTTGTTTCTCTTTTTTTCTTTTCTTCTTTAGGGGTATTAGAGAGCTAACACACATACCACATTCTTTAAACTTTAAAGACATGCTCACTTCTTAAGCACTACCTCCAACACTCACTTTCATTTATAGACAATACTAATAACCATGAGATCCTCTACAACTGGCCACTATGAATATGCATTCACATCAATTTCAGCCATCCATCACAAACAATACACCCCCGTACTTAAACATGACGTTGTCCTCAATGGAGAAAGGTTAGGGTGAAGAAGTTACCGCATAATTGGGCAAGTGAAAGTCGAACATTAGACCGGGATAGAGGAGGGGTTGGCTTAAAAACACCAACACAAAACAAAAACAAACATACACATACTCACACAAGGCGAGGTTATTACACAATAATAGTATTTAAAACATCACGATTAATATAAAACAAACACTATAGTACTAGTTCTACACTCATAAAGAGAAGAAAGAAATTAAGAAAAACATAGTTCAGAGTTGGAGAAGTGGGGCTACAAAACCGCTCGGCCACATGTCTCACTCAATCGTCTACGTCTAGCGAGACAGAGAAGCCTGCCTAGTGTCCTTAACTTGGACACCCTGAACTCTAGCCATCTCCTCTAGTAGGTGGTCAGAATGGCAACGGGCATCCACCTCTTAGTTGAGTTGAGAGGAGACGACGACAACATGGTGCTTAAGGCGAGTCACACGGCCGTCAAAGGCGTCCAAGGATGATGATCCAGCTCCAGAGGATGAAGATGCTCTGGTGCGGCGATGTCACCTCTGTGGTGGCTGCAATGTTGCCTGGGGAAGGGATGCCTCCTACTCCTCTTGGGGCTCGAACATAGTGTTAATGTACCAGTAGGGGCCGAACACTTTAAGTAACTACATTAAACACAATGTCTGCTCCTCAAAGCGTGAAGAGAGGCCCCTCTTGGTGCAAGAATTGAGGTCAACATTGAAATACCAGGCCAATTTGGTGATGTAGTGCCCCAAATGTATGATGCCAACCCGCGTATTGCTCTCCTCTTTAAGAAATGAAGTAGCTAACACAAACCTAAGGTTGAGGCTATCGTTCACCTCTACCATCGCGTCGAAGGCAAGAAGAGCTCTCTTCATGATCTTGTTGGAAGATCAATCACTAGTAAGAAGTGAACATGCCAAGAAAGTATTCATGATACGCCACTGAGGTTTGAGCTTTGTTGTCGTGGTTTTAGAAGGGTCAAAGTGAGCGTGTTGGAGTTGCAATAGATGGACCTTTACGAAGGCCCCTTTGGAATCGAGTTGAGGAATTGCATCAAATTCAATGTCTAACAAGCACTAAGGCTCTAACCCCATAGCCACGGTATTCTCATCATAAGTCATCTTTCGCATCTCGCCGCCCATTCGGAATGAAATGTGGGGCCGATGACTACTCGTAGGTCCTTTAGTAAGATGATGCAAATGCATGCCGGCGCACTACACCACCATCAGCAGCATCATCATCATCTAGAGCTGGACCTTCCTCCTCCGGAGCCCACCTCGAGCAGTGAGTGGATCGCCTCGAGGAGCAGTTTGTGAGAGTCACCACTCAGCTTGACTGATCCATCGACCTCCTAGAGATGATTGCTCGATGCCAGGGCATCCTTTCGGATGACGAGGAGTGACCTTGGATCCACAACGAGGTAGCCGACGAGTGAGACATGTGGCAGAGCTGATTTCTTTCGCCTCACTTCTCCACTTGAAAACTCTGAATTCTGTTTTAATTTTAATTTTTTTCTCTTTCTTAGTGTGTGAACTAGTAATTTGTGAGTTTTTCTTTACTTTGAATCGTGATGTGAAACTTTGTTATGTGTATTAACCTTGCCTCTAGTGAAAATCTGCGTGTGTTTGTGGTTTGTTTTCCCTTTGAGGCTCAAACATCCTACCCCCGGGAAATTCTCCAACTTTCGTTCACTAAGCCATGCAGTAACATCTTTCTACCCCCGATTTTACGCCATTGAGGGCAATGTCGAGCTTAAGTGTAAGTGTGTGTGTGGGGGGGGGGGTAGTTTATTATAATGCTTTTGTGTGTGATTGAATGCTTGGAGCCTTGATGTATGCCCAAATTTGAAAAATTGGAGGGCTCCAAGCGATGCATGATCAAATGGCTGGTTGGTGGGTGAATCTCGTGCTTATTTGGCATTGATCATGAATCGTTGTATGTGATCGAGTGCATCTTATTATGATGGATGAGAGTAAATTAGGTGTGTGCAAATGTTTAGTTCTCATGTGTACTTAAATGAATGGATGTCTTGACTTGGTTACTCCTTGATTACAATTGTCATACATCGAAATTTTTGAAATTGGAATAGATGATTGGGTGGCTAGGTAGCCATGTGAGATTTGTGTCGATCTTCTTTTTCATGTGTGATGGATCCCTCTCGCCATGGTGTGTAACATTCACTGTTGTCACTAGTGAGTATGATTGAGGCATAGGATTAGTCCATGCCCAAAAGTTTATTGTCCCGAAACATCTTATCCCCTAGTCAACCCCTTTGAGCCGTGTGACTTTGGGGGTCGTTCTAATGTTAGGAGCTTTGTGCTTGTTGAGCCTAATGGTGATTGAAAGAATGACCCATCATCCTCTGTTCGTGTGATAGTGTGAGTCATGCTTGTGTCTCAGCGTTATCGCTTTTGAGATCCTTTGAGGTTCTACATAGGCGGTTTTGCACAGTTCTTGCTAGAAATGAAAAGGTAGTGCTGGAGGAAAGTTCTTTATGGAGAGCATTGTTCGTTTAATGATAAGTGGCATGTGTTGTACTCTCTAGTACCCCCTCCCCCCTCGAAGAAAAAAAGAGATTAAGAAAGAAAGAGAAAAAGAAAGAAAGAAACCAAAAAGAGGTAAATAAAAGTAGAGAGTGGCCACAAAACTCTAAGTGTATGCTCCGAAAAGGGTTTATTGGCACTCAAGCCATTGAAATACCTAAATTGTTTGATGAACTCCTTCACTACTAGGTTTAAAATGTGAATAGCAAGAAGAGACCGAGGAGTGTGCTTGAATGAAGTTCGTGATTGGTAGTGTGTTGGAAGAAGGGAAGTGTGTTTTTTGGCTGATGCTAGTGGTCGTTGATCGTAGGAAAGGTTCTTAGTCGAAACCATGTAAACTTTGGTTTTAGGTTGAATATGTAGGACATCATGCTATGTTTTCCACCACCCAAAAAGCTTTTTCCCCATGTCCAAGACAATTGCCAGTCATTTGAACCCGTGCCTAAGGCCTCCGGACAAGCTAGTGATGACAACCACCCTGTGAACTCTAGCATTTAGAGGTTGCCGCCGTGGTGGAGAGACGATAGGGCTTAATGTTGATGGTTGTGCACAACATTTGCACCAAAAAGGTCCCGACCCCACTGGTCGAGAGTGAGTGATTCATTCTTGTTTTGCATTTTCATATCCTACCCCGGTGAGGACCTTTGTCACCTTTTCGTTTGTTCCTTGGACTTGAGTTCTATGCATGGTTAGTTGTGGTTGGTGAGTAGTCCGGTCAAGACTTTCATTGATTTGTGCACATTCTTGATGCATTCGAATGTCGTTTGTGGTGGATGTCGGTATTGCTTGAGGCGGTTCATGCGTTGATGGCCAATAGCCATTGAGATTCACCACTTTGTACCTTTTGATTTGTCCCCAAGTTATTATGTTAGGTTGAGGTATCACCTTGGTTGAAAATGGTTTGCTTGGGGACAATCAATCGTCTAAGTGTGGGGGAGTGATTCAGGCTTAATTATACATTTTTTACCCCCGGTTTCCTTAGTAGTTTGAGGCATTTTTACTCCGGGGGGTTTGGTTTTACGCTGGATTTTGTTTCGTTTTTGTGCATTTCAGTCTATAGTAGGTGGAATCAACCCCAGAGTCGAAAGTTGGACGAAAATGAGAAAAATCGGGTCAAAGGATGGAGGCAGCAGCAGAATCACGGTGGAAGCAGTGAGTTCACGGTCAGGGAGATCGTGAGCTGGAGCCGCAAACGCAAATCGCCAGGCATCCAGGGACACTTTTGCTTTCATTGTACTCAAGCCAGTTCACGGTCTAGCGTGAGAAACTTCTTCTTCTTCAGATTTCTTGAGTGAGAAAGTGACGAACCAAAGAAGACAAGAAGCTAGGGTTTCATCTTCAAGCAAGGTTTTTGGGAATTCCTTCCCCAAAGAAAGATCTCTTCAACAGAAGGAGCAAGACTAGCATTTATTTCAATGATGGGTTCTCTTCCTCTCTCTTGTGTTTTTCACTTCTCCTAACATGTAGTAGTCCCTTATTTCACTTGAGTATTTGTAACCATTCCAACCAATACAAATATCTTTATTTATGTAGTCACTGTATAGCTAATGTGTATACTACAACTTAATTAACCTTAGTCTTCTGGTTTTTATTAGCAGGTGCCTTATCGATGTAAGATTCCACTTGATCCTCCATTGCTTGTACCTGCAGTCATCAGTTTCCGTTTTGTTGGGAACTTGATCAGAAATATGAACATACTAAACATGTTGGAGATAAAAAGAAAAATGTTATCGAAAATAACCGTTAGAGAATCAAATGCATAAGTATAGGTCATGTAATCGTGTAGCTTCTTTGTTTAGAGTGAAAAAAGGTTTTATAATTGAGGAAAAGACTGTTTCTAATCATTTCTTTTATCAATTAGCTTGCATCTACTTCATTTCTATTTGAATATAAGAAAATTGCCCATAAATAATAGGTTCATTGTGATTACCTAAATGATATCTATGTTTAAGATTTTTTAGACAAAAATATTCGGACCAGTTATACCATCGTCCTATCACTATGATATATTTCTACGACAATACTATGATCTTCTATACCACTATGATATACTATGATAAAAATATCTTGATTAACCTGTATTTTTGTTCTGAATATCAAAACATGTGTCATTTTGTAAAGCATAATCTGATTTTCTAATATAAAATTGATATCCGTATTAAATTGAGTGAGATAGAATCCGTTAAATTTTAATGAATGAAACAGTTAGTGTTCCATAACATATATTGATAATGACCATTGTCATACCATGACTTTACTATTATAGTAAGACTTCATATCATCTTACCATTGTCATACCGCATTATCATCACTATGATACTGAGTCTTACCATAGAGATAATATCATGTTATGACAACAATAAAACGATGTCAAAATTTTGTATTCCAAAAAATATCAAAATGAGTGTCATCTTATAAAATAGCAAAAAATCTAATATTTCCATGGGTTTTTTTTTATGTAATTCCAATTTAAAGAAATGAGACTTGCTCCCTTGAACTTTTGTGAGAGATTAAAAGAAATTCTATTACCTATCGATTTGGAATTTACACCAACTCACTCCCAATCCAAAAATGCATCGGCAATTCAAATAATTATGGTTTCGCTGCTTACCCTTTCTAATTGGATTATCAATAGTAAAATATTTTTTTCCTAAGATAAAGGAATAAGATGGGTTATGGAGTTCTACATATACATACTCATTAGTTATGAATGGAAATCCAATCCTCATATAGCACATACACTAATATAAAAGGCATAGTTTTCAGCTATTGTCGTCCGTTTGCAAACGTGGATGAATAATCATTTACCATTACTAACTCTTCATCAGAAGGGGAGCAGTTGGAGCTCATACATGCTCCCTCTTAAGTAGGCAAGCAAGACCGGGGCAAAGTAATGAGAATGGGACAGGCGGGTTATTCAATATCCATACCAATCCCTCACTAAGCATAATTTTGATAATACTTTCGGGGTATATGTCACGGCAGGTCGACTTATATATAATTTGAAGAATTTTTTTATTTTTAATGATAAAAACAAAAAGAACATACTTGATAAACAAAAATAGAAATAAGAGAAAAGTAATGAGAGAATTCTCCCAGGTTTTGGGATAGTGGGTTTTCCAATTAGGGTCTGGTTGTTCTCATGAGTGCGCAAGCCAAATCTGCGGGTGACCGGCCTTCTTCGTATGATCAACGAATCCTTATGAAACCCTCGGGGGAACTATTTGACATATCTGAAGCTAATCGTCTAAGCTATGTGAAGCCAAAGGTATACAAGGGTAGATTAAGAATGTCTCAGATTGCGAGAGATGAAGGAGGATCTCCTTAGAAGCATAGCCTCGTCGGCCAGTTTCTTCACAAGGCCCCTAACCTTCCCATTTACACCGTTGGTCAAACAAAATCTGGGCTGAGATGGACTTGAGAGGATTTCTTTGTTGTGCAATCAATTGTTGCTCATGCGACTAGATTTCAGAAAGCGTTATGTGGTGCTTTTATGATAATCTACTCTATCTTCATCCTTGGACCCCAGGAATTGATGATTAGGAGAAATAAAAATAAAAAGACATGTGAAGTTTAATTTTGTGGAGATTCAAAGTTGTCTAAAAAGAATGCTTTGAGAATTTCATGGTTTCATCAAGGTATTTTTCCAGTTCGATATCTTAGCCTACCTCTACTATCAGATAAGCTATCATCGGTTTATACTAACAAGCTTGTAGCAAAAATAACTCAAAGAATCAGCTCTTGGCGTTCAGAAAAACTGAATTATGCAAGTAGAAAACCAATTATACATCAATTTTGATAAGAGTGCACCAACCCTGGATGAAATTTTTTCTTCTACCAAAGGGAGTGCTGAAGTAGATTCAAGATGTATGTTCACAATTCCTATGGCATGAAGGTGTGGAGGGTGAAGCTAAAGTGTGTTGGGATTGAAAGGAAGGGGAATTGGGGCTAAGAGATTTATGAACATGGAATCTAACATGTTCAGCTCGTATGGTCTGGCTATTATTAACAAACCCCCAACGACTGAGCAGGTGGGGTGGGCGACCAATTTATTAAGGATATTATAGTAACTACCACTCATATCAGTTCCTTCCTTTGCCCTTTTTTCGTTGCTCTCTACCTCCCACCTACTTCAACTTCTCTCGTTGTGTTAAAAAAAAAACAGTAGGTTACTTCTAAAAAAATTATTGCACTATTTAAAACAATTATATCACCATTATATTTTTTTATTATGTTATCATCCTTTGTGAAGTTTTTGGGTTGCTTCCTGAGTTATTTAGTATGCTTTCTCGTCTTTAAGGTATGCTTCATGAGAGTTGTAATATTGTTACACATATTTATGGTATACTTTAGGGAATTTGTGGTATGTTTTATGAGGTTTCTAGAATGCTTCAGGGAACTGTTAGTATGCTTTATTAGGATTCCGATATGCTTCAAAAACTTGTGATATGTTTGCCTGCTTTAGGAAACTTGTGATATGTTTTATGAGGTTTCTGGTATGTTTAAGTGAATTGGTAGCTTACTTTATTAGGTATGTGGTCTGCAATTCATGGAACTTATGGTCTGCTATATAAGGTTTCTGGCCTACTTAAGGAAACTTGTGGTATCATGGTATGCCTTATGAGGTTTCTAGTATACTTCAAGAAATTCTTGCGGTGTGTATTGAGTTTTTTTGTATGCTCTATGATTTGTGGTATGGTGATGTTCTAGTTTGATTTATAAGCTTTGTGGTATACTTTATGTTGTTTATGGTGTGATTTTTATTTATTAATGATATGGTTTTTGTGGTCAGTTTCATGATACTTGTGGTGAGGATGAGACTTGGAATAAAAGAGTAGTGCCAAAAGTGTGTGTCCCTATAATTTTAAAAAATGTATGGACGACTCCTCTCCTTAAACATCAGCATTAATTGTAATCAACCCCTTAGAAATAAAAAAAAAATTCATCAAAACGTTTCTATTGGCTGAAGCTAGTGTTAGTACCATGCTAACAAATTGAGTGTTAGTACTCTAACCTTTGACGCGTGGTACACATTTCCTTTGATGGTTTTTGAAATAAGTTTTTGGAAAGAAAACAAATCTAATGATACAAATAAACAACAACTAATAATGAGGGTAAATAGAGATAATACTTTGGTTTTCATAGTAAGACGGTTAAACTGAATCACAAAATATTATTAATCAGTTTTTGGTATAATTTATTATTACTCGGGCATGGTAGCATATTTTGATGATGCGGTATTTAATAAAATTGAAATATAATTTTATTCAAAAAATAAATTTTTGACTGAATCAGAAAATAAAATATCAATTCCATGAGAGGACCATCATTGTGAATTAGAAAATAAAATATCACAGATATGCCATGTATCACCTTTTGTTTTATCAATCTAAGGTGGTTTTTATGCTTAGCATTTATAGGACGGTTAATTTAGGTTTGGTTAACTTATAAGTAATTAAATCTTGAACTAGAAAATTCAGATTTAAGAGTTGTGAATTAAAGACATTTATTTTTCCTAGTTTTCTTAATTGGCTCTTATCTTCTTCGTTGTAACTCGGATTTCAATTATTTTTGCACAGATAGAACGAGTTCGTTGTGCTCTACAAAATGAGATCAATTTTCAATATATTTCGAGAAACTTTTTTCATACTTTCCGTTAGCAACTACATATCATATGATAACTTCTTCGAATCTTCGTTTTTAAGTCGTTTTTGAAAATGTTTGCTCATAAGGAACGAGTTCATCATAATCTATTGGATCTACAAATTTCTGGGTGAAAAAATACAAAACCAAAAATGATCATACTTTACCACTATGGTATGTGGGTGGTAACTTGTGGTAAACAATGATGAAAGTCGTAAATAACAGTTAGTATACTCCTACTATCATGTATTCAACCTTCTTACCATATTGGTATGTTCATACCATCATGGTACGCTTTCTTACCCTATGGTATTAAAAAGGAGCATACCATATGGTAATGATTGGTAAAAAATGATCAATTTTTTTTAAAAAAAATATATTTAAGTGGATATCATTTTAAAGAGCACAATTAATCTGATTTATCTGTGCAAAAAAATTAATTTCGACTTAAAACAAGAGAGAAATCGTTCATTAAAGATTAAAAGGGAAAAGATAAAATGTTTTCCATGAGAGAGAGGGATGCTGATGTCATGCTAATGTGAACGGGTTACTCATAATTACTCACCGTAAAGTTACTGACCTGATCCGCTCTCGTTAATTTATAAAAAAAATTTGTTAATACTTAATACATTGTATTTCAATAGATTTGATTATTTTTTTCCAGTGAAAACAAAATAGGCTATATTCCATTTGCAGGGGAAGGAAATTTGGGGGGTAAAAACCAAACTCAAAATAGGAGAAAAACTGAGGGCGTGAATTATGAGGGTAATACGGAAGGAGACCTTAGTGAGGACTTGTTGGGCAACATCGGCGGCCTTGGCAGCTTTATCGGCCGCCTGCTCCACGTCTTCCAGCAACTCCTTGAGCTCCCCTTCCGGCAGATTCTCTTCGATCTGCTCCGCCACTTCCTCCACTTTCTCCGCCACCTCCTCCACCGCCTCCACCACCTCTTCTATCGTCTCCACCACAGATTCCACGCTGGCTGCCATCCCGCCGACCACCAATATAAAATCCAAATAGAATTCCTCAGTCAATTGGTTCTCCCATCTCCAACGGAAGAAATTAGACTAGCTAGCTAGCTAGCTCGATCAGCTAATTACCTTGTATCTTTTTGAGGGACCACAATTGGTTCCGCCAGAAGGGCAGGAGGAAGCTCATTATCACCCCGACAAGCCACCCTCTCCTGCAAAATTAAATTGGGATTAATAACTGATTAATATATTTTTAGGGAGGTACAATAACTAATTAATTTACCAATCGGAACCGCCGGAGGATGAACCTGAAGGAGTGGGAGAAGAAACAGGGCCTCCTGAATCAACGTTGCTGTAAACAACCAAGTTCCTGCGCCTAAATGACACATGAACTCAGCTTAATTGATTAATTAACTAACAATTAATCAGAATGGTTATTAATTAACTGGCAATTCCTTTACTTGTTTGACGAGGTATTGGGGCTTGCATGGTGATGGAGATCAAGTCCTTGTGCGCTGGAGAAAAGAAGTTGCGGCCGGCGAGCCGGAACTGTAACCTGAGTAGTGTTGTTATTCATCCTCCGGCAGCTGCCAGCGGAGTCGTCACTAATTACCACGTGCTGCATCGCAACAGTGACTACCGGCGGCGATGAGTTTGCGGCCAACATCTTGGTGAATTAATCTGCCCCCAAGTGCTGTTATTTACTTATTTTTTAGCAAGGGGCTGAAAGGAGAAGGTTGGATTGATGGAGAGGAAGGCTGGAGAGCAGGAAAAATATATGTCCAGTCCAGTGGGTCACTACGACGTGGTGGTGGTTTTTGTTAAAAATATATTGTATTTATGATTGACAATGAGACGGACGGGCGGGCAGACAAACTGCATATTATTATTCATATAATATACATGTGAATTGTGAGGGGATGGGCGGATAGCATTTATTTTGCTGCTTAATGAAATGAAAGGCCTGGAGTGAAAAACAGGAGCAAGGTCGCACATAAGCGGCAATGATTCTGACTTCTGAGTACGAGTTTTTATCTAATTTGGATATACAGCTCGTTATAAAGGAATTCAACTAGATTTGTTTACTAACACTTTGTTATTCGATTTTGGCTAATTAATTACATCACGAGATCGGCTCGAACTAAGGTATCGTATCATGTATTTCATAATTTTTAATTGTCCGTGTTATTTAATAGTAATCAGTGTATGAGCAATATATGATATATATATTTTTCTCTTTTAAATTATAAATGAGACATTTGATCACATAATCAAATTCTTAAGCATCATATGTGGTGAGATATATAATCCAACAAATCTATGGATTATCAACAATCTAGTTAATGATAAACTATTAATCCAACAAATCGATTTGCTTTTTAATATAAAAGGTCATATGAAATTACTAAAAAGGATTTCCAATATAAAATATGAATAAATATTCTAAAAAATAAAAAGTAGTCCAAATGGATCTTGTTAGACTTCTTTTGTATTAAATAATATTTATTTTATTTTTAAAAAGAGAAATTATATTTTCTAAAATAAAATTAAAATATGGTAAGAATAATCTTTTTATTTTCAAAACAGCTTTTCGCAGAAGCTCCAAATCGTAGTTTCTGCTTTAATGTTAGAAAAGCACTTCTCGATTTTTTAAAAGCCGAGTTTTTGGAGGTGTTTGGCTCTATTCCAGCTTTTAAAGTCGACATCTAAAAACCGGAGCAAACATAGGCTATGGCGTAGTTATTCCCAATTACTCGATCGGCAGATCCACCATCTATAAATAGATCTGGACGATTCCATTATAATAATGATTAATGTTGTTAATAATAAATCAACCAAAAAAATGTTGTTAATAATAAGAGAACGGTTCCCTCACATCAATTTCACTATTTCACCATTTGTCCCCTAGCTCGTTCCTGTGACTTCTCTGCATGTGAATTGCGATCTCTCTTTCAATGGTTGGTATAACGGATATTTTATACTTCCTATATTTTTTCCTTGTTAATAATTTATCTTCAAACAAATATTTGTACAGCAGTAATATTTCTATTAACTCTAAGCACCGTGCAAGTAGTTATTGATGATTGAGCTAGGTATGCCAACTTCTTTCTTTTTTCCAGCCAATAATTGGTGGGTATAGGGCAGATTGAAATAAATTTGGCTGTTGGATATTATTTTTCATACATTTAAGATTAAACATGTGCATATATGTGTCCCATTCTGGCTCCATAATTGTTCACCCAGATGGCAAATTTTTTACATTTTGATTTGCAGGTTTCTTTATTTTGCCTCAGAATGAATGGCAACACATGATCAACCCCTACCTAACGCTAATTTGGTTTTTACCCAGCCCTTTTCATGGTTGTTACAATTTTTTTTTTTTTTTACTGAATGGTTGTTGTAACATCTCGAACCTTTTCCTGAACAAGATATTGTTCGTTTTGGGCCTCCACCTTCACGGTTTTAGGTTTGGGGTGCAATTCAAGGTGACTTCGCATAAGGTCACCCATCCTTGTTGTACTCCACACTGAGCATGTTTAACTTCAGAGTTCTCACGAGAACTCCTCCGTTCCACCCCAAAACGCGTCTTGTTAGTTAAGGCCGTGATAACGATGTAATTGCATGTTTTTGTACCCCTATTTCTTATCCATTTGCGGGGCATAATCGTGTGTCTGATTCAAGGTGACTTCAGCCACGGACGTGTTTCTCCCAGAGCGTGGCCGTGTTTTTAACACGTGGCAAGGGTACGGGCGGGCTAAATCAAAGCACGGCCGTGCCCTCGGCCGTGTTTTGCCCAAGGTCAGCCTTTTTAGGCAGATTTGAGCCAAAAGAGAGGGGGTTCCAAGTTTTAGAGAGACAGAGCGATTCCTAGAGAGAGAAAGCGACGAACCAGAGTTCCCAAGTGCCCTAGCTTGATCTTCATCAACATTGGAGCCCGGCTTGACCTTGGAGAAGTGCCGATTGAAGACCAGGAGCAGAAACTCATCTTTAACAGTATGATTTCCGCATCTGAATCTGCTTTTGCTTCTCTCTCCATGGAGTAGTTTCCCCATTCATCTGGGTATGGAGAACCCTAGATTTGTTTGTTAGGTATGATTGTATGAACCCAAGTACATATTTTATGAGTTGATTATATTCGATTGAGGCTTGAATGATTGAATGACTTGAATCTTGATCAAATTCCTGTTGTTTCTGCTTTAACCTAGAATGAGAATATCTGCCTAGGTTGATAGAGCATCCTTAATTGAAGGTAGTGAATTGGCGACTTTAGTCCAGGAGCCAATTCGCTATTCTATACCGAATTCAATTCGGTAGTGGAGGATTGGTTCGTTAGGGCCTCAATCTATTTACTCCAGTGGAGGTTAGTCGCCCGCTAGAGACTCAGATTGAGAGGATCTTGAGACCTTTAGTCGAGACTTCAGACTGTTTAAGAACCTTCCGCAGTATAATTTTCATGAAAACTGAACTTGGTAATTTGCAATCTGGCTTAACTGCAGTCTAGGGGGAACCATATCCGAGTGACCTCTCTCAACTTGAAAACAACCGTTTAACTTGCTTTGTTTGTTTGTTAATTTGGACTTGCACTAAAGTTTCACTGCTAGATAACAAGAATTCACCGAGTAGTCATCAAATCTAGGACCCGGGTTGACATTAAAACCCAAACCCGCTATACTACGCTTTAGGAAGTGGTTCCACTTGGCCAATTTCTAGAGTGACAGTAGGAGTGAGTCAAGTTTTTGGCGCCGTTGCCGGGGAACGGCTAGGTTGTTGAAGAAAAGTGATTTATGTTACTTTAGCATTTTCATTTTCGCATTGATTGTTTGTTCTTTCCCACTTGTGCCTTCACGGGTTTGCATTGCTTGAGTGTGTGCAGATAGTGCATGACCCGTAGCCAGTCGGGAGGTTTACTGCCGTTGGATCCAGAGCTTGAACGCATCTGCCGCCAGCTTAGGAGACAACAGCGAGCTAGACTGGCTACGGAAGAGCGCATAGACGGTCACTTGAGCAGCGATTCTGAGGAAGAGTACGAGATGGAGGGCGAACACAACCCACCCCCGGGGAATCCTCTTCAGGTTCCCTCGGTGAATCAGTTCTTGGGGAACAATCCCATACCCCAGGCAGATGGGGTTCATCATCATCCACCACCGCCGGGTCCCACCTTGGAGTACTACTACACTCCACGGATTGCTGACATCCGCTCGGTCATCCTCTATCCGCCCATTCCATCAAACAACTTCGAGATCAAGCCATGCTGGATTCAACTCATTACATCTTCTATCCAGTTCCATGGCTTGAAGGATGAGGAGGCAAGGGTGCATCTTTCCCGTTTTCTGCAGCTGACGAACGTGTTCAAGCTAAACGGTGTCCCTGATGACGCAATTCGCCTTCACCTTTTCCCCCATTCTCTGGCGGGGAATGATAAGAGGTGGTTGGAGACCCAGCCCCCATTGTCCATCACTTCTTGGGACGATCTGGCAGACAAGTTCCGTTTGCCACGTCATCAAAAAGGGTGTAGGAATGGGCGAAGAAGAAAAGGGTGTAGCGGCCACTCCGATCCCAATGTAAAATAATTTTTTTGAATTTTGAATTTTTTTTAAATTGACATGTCATTAAGTTAACGGTCCAGTCATCAGTTCCGTTTGCCACGTCATCAAAAAACTAACAGAGTTAACTGAATTTGCCGGAGACTAACGGCCGGTGACTAACGGTGAAATGATTTGTAAAGTTAGTGGCGAATTAGAAAGAAAAGTAATTTGGATGGCAAACATGAATTATTTTTGTAATTTGAGTAACCAAATGTGTAATTTAGCCCTACGAAATCTATAAAAGTTCATTCAGCTCCTCTAGATTTCTGACCATTAATTTTTATTAAGTTGCGAGTCGATGTGAGTATTAGTATTTGGGTTTTGATATATAAACATTAAATCATTTGTTTGGATAGATAATGCATTTCAATTTTGTTCAAATACATTAGTTAGTTAAATTAAATCTCTATCGTAAGAGGCAATGCTAGGACAAAGAATGGTCTTAGTAGAAGAGATAGAGTGATGATATAGACAAGTCATTGATGTATGATTTGATTGAACTTTAATATGCATGACGATACTCGAGATTTACATTCTTATACAATAACGTATTTTTACATTTATGAATCTATAACTTGAAAACCCCCTAAACAACTTTACATTTATTTGCTTTACTTTTCATTGCTTGTTTATTCGAATGAAACCCCTAAAGATGCTTGTCTATTTTGTGTAACATAAATGGAATGGTCTGACTAGTTATGCATTTGAAGACCTTGTGTAATACGACCCTAGGGCATCCTATTCCTAGGATTATAACTCGATTTATCCCATCCAGATTCTCTCAACCATGTATGTATCCCTTACTGTACTAGAGCGAGTCTAACGAAACTGTAGGGCGAGTTTGCATATGCAACGCCTTTCGTTACTTTTTTTCCTCGTCCAATCATTTATTTCTACAGACTAAGGCTAAGGAGAACCTAAACCCGAGGCACTTCAACCCCTACATTTTGTTTTCTAAACCCAAGATAGGGTCATTGCTGACTGAGTAGAGAGACGTGACTAAGGGTCCTCGATGCACCTTAGGATCAATGTCGATCATTTTTATAGTGTTTTATTAACTTTCATTTATCGACCACTTTCACTAATGGTCATTGAACTTATGATATCGGCGAGCATTATGTAAACAGTCGTTGGAACATTATTCTATTGGCGACCATATTTATAAATGTTCGCCAAAAATTTACTTGCCACGAGCATTTTAAAATGGTCGTATAGAAAATGGTTACCTCATAGCTAGGGTTGCTCACCACTCATCAATTAAGTTGCCAACGAGGATGTTGTGTCCTAAAGGAGGTATATGTAACATTTTAGTCGAATCCCACATCGACAAAGGATGAGAGAGATCCATGGTTCATGAGTAGGAAACCGACCTTAATTGAGAAGAAGTATTTTGGGTGAAATGGAAGAACTTCGAAACTTAAACATGCTCACTTGGAGCACGGCAAAGATGGGTGACCTTATGGTAAGTCACCTTGATATGCACACCAAGGCAAAATCCTTGAGGGTTTAGGCCCAAATCGGACAATATCTTGTTAGGAAAAGGTTTGGGATGTTACAACAAAATTGGTTGTATTTTACTTATTTAGAGTGATTTTCAATTGCTAGGTCGTCGATGATGTGAACAATGGAACGGGGTTGATCAGCCACTTGTAGCTCCTTTTTTTTAAAGGTGTGCCTTGCTTGTGATTGAAATGTAATGTTTATGCACGGTAAACTTATAAATCAAAAGCCAATGGAACGAGGTTGTATTTTACTATGGGTGAAAGAAATGGCTAGAATTTTCGTGGGTCTCGAGGTGCGAACATTGGAAGATGCTCCCATGCTCGGAGCTGGAGGACGAACATAGCACCACCAGCTTGTTTCGCAGCCGTCTTCAAGAATATACACAGCTCTCGGTAGACCGTTGCTAACACGGTCGACCGCTAGCTCTTTCTCCTGATCTGGTCCCAGTCACCGAGCAGCAACGGTAACCACATGTCATGTACCCACCTATATATATTCACCTTGTTTGGAAACATGAATCCACCAACTCTCCATTTTCTTTCTAAATATTATTATTAGTTGTTTACTTTTGTTATTTGTTTTTACCAGTACCGATCAACTATACATTATAAATGACAACAACATATAAATCGAACTCTCCCGGCTAAGAGCTGGACCTGATAATAGTTTCCTTAAGACTGAAATCATACATGAGTCAGCTTGAAGATGAACGTGTGTATTTGGTGAAAAATACCCCCCAATAATTGATTCCGATCTTAGCTAACAGGTTGAATGCAGAGTATAGATTTGTTCTGATCCTCCGAGAAGGAAAGTTACATCATCTTTTACTCTGAAAGCTGGGTGGTAGGTTGCGGTCGCGGATGAATGGTGATTGGGCTGGGCCTTCCCTTCATTACGAACCCTATCTCAAAGTAGACTAGTGGGTAATTATTAATTAGAATAGACTATAGAGCGAGCGAGCGTGAAAGTTAAACTGCGCTATCCTGCGTCATTTCTGAAGCGGAGACCGAGAAAAACGTGGGCGAAATTTAAATTGACCGCCTGGCCTGGCCTGCCTTTAATTATTAACTAATAACAATATATATCACACAGTAATGTAATGGATGATTAATTGATTATTAGTTTATTACAATTGGACCATTATTTTCAGATTATTATCGCTGATTCACTCAATCGGCCCCTCGACTGGAACGGAACGGCTGACCCAACCCAAAGCTGTTATTAAATGGTGGCTCCCCACTTCCAACTACTACGAGTCTAGTGACTACAATAATCCCATTCTCCAGTCTCCACCAGCTCCACCGTCTCCTCAAAACCCCATTATTTCCACCTCGATTTTCAACAGCAGCTTCAGAGCTATCGGAGTGAGTTAGGTTAATCTTGTGATCACAAAAAAATAACACATTTAAAAAAAAAAAAAAAAATGTTGCCAGCAGCAACAGCAAGTGCCAGCAGAACTCCATTTGTTGCCAGCGGCGGCGGGTTTCATCATCATATCGCCAGGCCCAGATCCGGCGGGCTTTCTGCACTAGGCCTTGGTCTCGCCAAGCGGCAGGTGATTTCGTCGTCGGCGGTGAAATGCTCGCTCTCATCGACTCCGCCGTCCGCCGCCGCCGGGATCAAGATGTTGGGCCGTCCTTGTACCTCCGCCACCTTTCCACATATGAGGCCCTGCCCTTCACGACGCACTGCTGACGTGGCTGTCCGGAGTGCCGGCGTTGACCCGATGGCAGTAGCAGACGCTCTCCCCGCTGGGATCTCCCTCCCCTTCGATCTCCCTCACGATTCCCAATGGTAATTATCGTTGATCCATTTTTTCATGAAGCTAATTAATTAGGATGGTCTGTTTTTTTAATTAATTATGCCAACTATAGCATATGCAACTGGGTGAAGGTTTCATAAGATATGAATGAATCTGCGATGAATTTTTTTTTGTCATTCTGATTTACACTTTTGATTAAGCGCCCTGAAAGTCTCACGTTTGACTTTTAATATTCATTAAATTGTCATCGTCGTCGCAGGCAACTATGGCTTCTAGGTGCGGTGGCGAGTTTCGCTATACCATTGGCAACCGGCAAGTTGGGCCCGCTCGGGAAGTTATTCGGTGGGTAAAAAGAAAAAGAAATTAGTGAATTTTTTTTTCTTCGTTTTTACCACGATCGGTGTAATATTTTTATTATTCAAGTATTTTTATTTTTTGCTGATCTTGGTTGGGGGTGGTGGCAGATAAGTTTGATGCGGCGGTGGACACGGCACAAGGAGTGGCGGAGATGGTGGATCAAGTGGCGGAGAAGGTGGAGGAAGTGGCCGACGACATCGGGAACAGCCTGCCGGCGGGTGCTCTGAAAGACGCACTGGAGTATGTGGAGAATCTGGCGGACCAGACGGAAAAGGCTGCTGAATACGCTGGCGATCTTCTCGATAAGGTAAACCTACACTTATTAGTTTCATAATTTTAGCTCCGGCTTCAATATATCAATCATTATTATATTATATTATATTAATTATGCTGCAATTACCCAACTAGGTTTTTATTAGTTGATATAAAAACTGTGTGAGGTATGTATTGATAGCAAGGCAAAACTGTGTGAGGTTTTTAATTATGCTTCACTCATTAAAATACATATTTTAATGAGTGAAGAAAGTGAATTGAAAAGCAAAAATGAAGTTTTTTTTTTTCAGGCTCAATCAATGGATGGGAACGGTCAACTTAGCTGGATATGATCTCTAGCTAGCTGCACCAGTCCACCACCAACCCGGGAAAATAATAAACTTCAATGAAGTAACATGGCCTGGCTGGCTGATAAGATTAATTAATTAATTAATTAACCATACATGAATTGTCCTTTGTCCATTGGATAAATCATAAATATTTTAATTTCCTACGATCGATGGAGCATTGGATACTAGATAGTATTGGTGAGTGAAGTTATTATGGATAATATATATGGTGGTGGCCGGTGGGGAAATTGATAGAACTCAGATGGATGGATGGATTGATTGCAGGTGGAAGAAGTGGGGGACAAGGTAGAAGCATTTGCGGAGTCAGCCATCGCCAAGAAACCCAGCTCCAGTTCCAGTTCCAGTACTAGTGTGGTGGTGTCACAAGAAGTGAAAGCTGAGATTTAATCAAATACATTCCTGCACTTCTTACTGCGAAATTCATGGTCATTATATGGTGTATGGACTAGGACTACAGGTGAAGAGAGATTATCATGTTGAAGACGCAACGATGACTTCCAATTGTCTCGTCCTTATTGTATGTACAAACTGCACTATGATTGTGGTGGAATTGTCCAGTCCGTTTAGAAGCTAGCTAGTGTCTGTCAGTGTAAACCCTTTACAAATAATCTCACCCACTCCTCCAAAAAAACAACATCACTATCTAGTGTCTTTCACCAGGATCCCATTGATACTTGTGACATTCATTTGGAGATAAATTAAACGAAGCCTAGTTTGGTATCTAGCATCACATTTGTTGTGAAATCATAACGAATTTTATGTTTTCAAATCAATTACTTGAGTTGGTCATAATCGATATTTAAAAAGAATCATGATATGTTTTGTAGCGTATATAGTGGCACAAGCTTGTATTTAGGGGTGGAGTTTCGGTTAGTTCGGTTATAACCGGTAACTGATAGGTAAGTTATCGGTTAACCGAACTGCCCGCCCCCTTACCTACAAACCGATCGAAATAGGGATTTAGAGTTCGGTTATCTCGGTTTTTGGTTAACCGAACCACCTCCAAAATCAAAACCATATCGGCCAGCCTCCGAACATCGACCGAATTTTGGTTATCTCGGTTAACGTTTATTGGATAACTGGTAACCGAACCTTCACCCCTACTTGTATTCCATGAACACCTTTAGATTTACTACCAATTGATGGATCCAGTATTCAATCGAAATCATACAATACATCAATTTTACCAGAGTTGTTACCCTCAACAAACACAATAGGCATGCCATACTTTCCTTTATTAGACGTGGATGAGCTAAGCCCCCTAATTATTCACTCCCCTTTAGTGCTTTACCCATTTACAGACACGTATTAAAGAGGCAAGTGGTAAATATTAGTTCTCTCAACCAATCACTCCAGCAATTAGTAGAATCTCCTTACTCCATCCATCAACAAAGCCACCCAATTCTCCCTTTATACACTTTGGACATGAGGTGGAGGATGGATATGATTTGTCTCCTGTCATTTATCTCAAATAACCAAAGCAACTCATCTCCCTTTTACCCTAGTGCTACACGTGGTGAAGGAAGTAGCATAATTTGGATAATTTGCCACACCAACCCATTTCACCACCACTTACATGTGGCAAAGGTGAAAATGGTTCAGGCTGGCTCTCCCTCTTCTCAATCCACTAATTTTTTGATTTAGCTTGTTTACCTCTTTTTTAAGTCTCACCAAACCACCAAAAGACCACTTTCTCATGCTTCCAAATACAAGTGGCAAGATGGACAAGTGTGAGCACGTATAAGCAAGGTAGATAGTAACAAAATGAATTTACAATCCATCACTACCTTCATTGCTACTACATGTGTCTTTAGGAGGAGAGAGGTAAGCTTATGAAGTGACATGTTTTTCTTTATTTTGCTAACCAACCATGGCACTTATCTCGGTTGGTGACATTTATGTGTATTATTATTATTTTATTCTTTACACGCCATCCACGTCAGAAGTAGGAGGCGCCTATAAATAGGACGCTCATTTATGCTTTCTCAGCAGTTCATTTTTTAGAGTTGAACTCTAAATCTCTCTCTAAGTCGGCTCAATACGCCTCTTCCGGTTACTCTCCTCTCAAACATCGTAGATGTAATGATTGTGATATGATCTTTAAGGCAACATTAAAATTTTAGGCATGTCACCACAAGTGTCACGACGTCACTATGACTGTGACATAGTTCACAGCCAGGTTTCTTCAAATGTCACTACCGTGAAAGTGACCCTTTCTTGTCATGAAACACCCTGATTTTACCTTATCTTTGGGGGTGTTCAAATGGTTATCATGGTTATAACCAAACCAAATAAGGCTAAATTCTATTAACCATGGAATACAATATCATAACCAAATCATCCAAACTAATACAACAACCAAATTAACCAAACTAAAGTTTAATCGGTTTCGTTAATTGGTTAACCAGATTAACCAATATAAAATCACATTATCATTGACGATGAAAATTTTACGGTTAATGCAACAATTCGCAATTTATATAATGAATAAAACATAACAATCAACACGTAGTTATAGTTGACCCTTAACAAAAATACATGCAACTAAGACAATTATCTTACGATTAGTATAGAAATATTAACCTAACAAAAATTTATGACAATGGTATGGGTTAATGAATTGTTGTGTTTGTGTAAATTGACTTAGTTTCTTAGCAATTATCATAGGTTGGAAATGACCTTCCTTTCAAGTTTTCATCCATCATAATGTATGAAATTTATCTAAACTAGGCGTCCATATGTTGTGGTCTACATTTTACATATACAAATATACACTATATGAGCAATATTGAGCTTTATATTTTATGAGTCTAAAAGGGATGAACGTTAACTCTTGAGTGGTTAGACAAAGTATTAAGTATGTGTATATAATATATGTTAGATATATGACTAATTACTTAACTGGTTAATTTGGTTTGACTGGTTAGGAGTGTCTGAAACCAAACCAAACCACCTAAACCAAACAAGCTAAAAACTTTAACCAAACCAAACCAATTATCCAAATTAACCAAACCAAATTATCCAAATAGTACTGGTTAGAACGATTACCATGGTAACCAAACCGTTTGAACACCCCTACTCATCTTCATGCCTCAAATGATCTAATGACATGAAATTAGCTCCAAATATTCCTTGACATGTAGGAGCTGAAATAAGACGAGAAAACAAAACCTAGCATAAAAAGGAATAAGGATAAGAAGATTACAACACAAATAAACAAGAAAGATCTAAATTATGCTAAGTTTCAAAATATGATCAATGAGCTACAGTTATCACAATATCAACCTAAAATTGTAAAGTATGATAATTATGGCATTCAAGTACCCGAGAAAGGGACAAATAATATGCATAGTTTAGGCATTATCAATCACCCACACTTAAAACGTTTGTTTGTTCTCAAGAAAGATATTCCAATCATGCAACTCGAAACTTCTCATTGTCCATGTTTGAAATGAATCATCGGGATTGGCCCATTAGCTACTTACAATGCGACCACCTACCTTCTCATATGCGAGGAAATGGTAGGCTTGTGGTGACTACTTGGATTCTCAACTTAGGTAGATATAACAGTCACTCTTTTGATTCTTATTTGCACCTCCCCAACAAATTTGTCGCATTAAATGACTGAGCAATTGGGATGTATATGCTATGCATTTTTTTCTTCCCACACCACAACATAGAGGTTATCCATTCGTCATCCCACTTCCAATCATCTGATCCTCCTTGGATTACACCTTCTCTTGGTTATTAGATGGATTCCTCGTTCTTAAGCTCCTCCAATGTCCTTTCTCTCTCACTAAAATAGCCCAAAAACCCTATTTTCTCACTCTATGGCGACTCTCTTATAAAAATTAATGTATGTTCATATTTATAGGCGGCCAGGAACACGGACAAGATCGCGACCTCTAGGCTGTGTTATAAACGCGCTGCTACGGATCGGAAAATCGTCGGAATCGACAAAGCAAGAATACGAAAGCGAGAATAAAAAACACAGACACACGATTTACGTGGTTCACTAACACGATGTGTGTTAGCTACGTCCACGGGCGAGAGAGAGCCAGTTTCACTATATTGAGGAGATTACATATTACAGATTACAGAGGAGTATGAGAAGTATTTATAGTACTTCTCCATGTGGGTCTAAACCTAATCCAATCTGGCAAAAGAAACGGTTACAGACCAGGCCCAGAACCCGAACCCAAAAAACATTGAGCCCATACACCCCCGAATACCAGTCGTAACGGCTGATAATCCGATTCAAGTCACATCAACAAGCTGTGAGATCACGGTTGTGATCATTCTTTCCAGCCCATGATCATCAAACACTGCCATTTTGGATTGTGCTAGATACAAGTTCGCAGCTTCGAGATCACGACCGTGAACTAGAAGTTGCGAGCACGATCTTTTTCATGGGCTCGAGTGCGAAGGACCCCAAAATGGAATGCGACTCCTTCTACTTCTTCTTTGTGTGTGGCTTCCTTGAGATCACGGTCTAGCAATCTGAGATCGCGACCGCGGACTAGTGCGTCACTCGAGATCTGTTTGCGACCTTAGGGGATCTCAGCCGTGAACTGGTGCTCTTCAGTTGTGAACTTCTATTTTTGGTTGTTTTTGCCCTTTTTCGCTATACATGCACCCTCTTTATTTGTCAAAATCACTTGTATTCTCCGATGCCACCTAAAGACCATATATTTGTAAAATGAAGCAATTCACGACCAAAACAGAAAACTAAATAAATTAATACGCTTAATATGACATGAAAACACCTAAGAAATTAAGAATAAATAACACATTTTTAGGAGTTATCAATAATCAAGGGAGGCATGGATAAAATAAACTAATTTTTGTAGTTTCTACCGTGGAAAAAAACTCATAAGTCATAACATCTTAAACATAAGTTCATATATTTAGGCTCACATGTTTTGTTCAGATTCTAGCATACATATGTAAATTTCCAAGCATTTATACATACATCACTCTAAAAAAATTATAGATAGAAATATAGAAATAGAGTTAAAAACCCAAAATTTCATTTACTATTTACATATGTTTTGTTAATATTCAACAAAAGCAAATTTTTCTACGGACCCCATGGGAACGGATCGGGTCAGCAACCTTATGGTAAGTAACTCGTCCACATCGGCATCCCTCTCTCTCCTGGAAAGCCTTTAATTTTCCCCTCCTTAATCTTTGACGGACAATTTCTCACTTGTTTTAAGTCGATTTTTTTTTGCACAGTTAGATCAGATTAATTGTGCTCTTCAAAATGATATCCACTTTGATATATTTTTCGAACAAAAAAAAAAATTGAGCCATTTTTTACCAGTCTATACGATATGGTATTCACTGGTATTGAAATAAGAGCATACCTATGGTTTGAAAAGCGTACCATGGTGGTATTAACAAACCAAGACTGTAGGATGGTTGAATACATGATAGTAGAAGTATATTAACTGTCATTTACGACTTTTAGCATTGTGTACCACAAGATACCACCCCGTACCTGGGTGGTATTGTATGGTACTGTGCGGTATTTTTTGGTCCTGTAATTTGTTCACCCAGAAATTTGTAAATCCAATAGATCATGATGAACTCGTCCCTTCTGTGCAAACATTTTCAAAAACTAATTAAAAACGAAGAAAATATCATATGGTATGCAGTTGGTACCAAGAGGCCAGAATTTTTTTCCTAAAAAAATACTGAAAATTGATTTCATTTTGTAGTGCAAGATGAACTCGTTCCATCTGTGCAA